TTCCAGGTTTGTTTGTTTTTTTTTTTCCTTCTCACACAGGCCTCCACAGCCACAGGCCATCCCACCTGCCCTGCGAGGGCCCGATGGGAGAGGTGCAATTGTCTGCTTACACAGCGGTGAAGACCTGGTCTCTGAGATAGGCAGCAGGCAGCGCTGCAGTCGATTCTGCTTGGCCGTCTCAGCACAGCAAGGAAACTCACAGTGCTCACTATGAGGCTTCTGTGGCACCTCACAGCAGCATGACCATGCTGTGGGTCAGAATCCCTACACAGCAAAGGCCAACACAGCCACAGGGTGGCCATAGCAGCTCTACTTTCCTGAGCACAGAGGAAAGGAAACCTCCGGCCCAAGGAACAGACTCTGCGAGGCGACTTAGCACCCTTGGGCCTGACTGAAGGCTCTAGCACTGCAGCTGCTTCTGAGGGAAAACACTATTGCCTGGGTGGAGTCTGGGACTATAGGAACATGCTGAGTTTGAGAAGGAATCAGCCATGCACAGCCTGGCCTGGGAGGGTCCTAGACACCAGCACCTCAGCTGTTCCTGCAGAAAAGAGGTGCCCTCCTCCTTGGTGAAAACCCTAATAAATATGATATTTGGCTCAGCCAGTGCCAGTAGGCAGGACTCAGGAATAAGTACAAAGACCTTTAAGGAACCATCCTGTGAGTATTGTGACATGGCACAGGGCAGCTGAGGGGCTCATCCACCCATTGTGGATTTCTAGGCTCCGACAGCACGGTCCTTACTGCCCAGCCCAGTTTCATGTTTGTCGCCTCCATCCTCGGGGCCATACTCCACTCCCCACCTCAGGCAGGGTGGTGTTCCAGTGTGGGCAGGAGATGACAGCCCAGAGCCAAAGCATGTGCACACACAAGTTCCATCTAGCCAGAATATCTCTGTCTGTCTGCTTCTGTCTGTCTCTCCCTCTTAGACAGAGTGCTCCTAATTAGGAAAAGCTTCATCCTTCATCCTCTTCCTTCACTTTGCTCCTCCCAGGGGACATGGGCTGGCGGCAGCATGCTTGATACTCCAGGAATGCCAGGTATTCGTGTTCAATCCCAGGAGGGCTTCTAGGCAACCATGCATGGTTCCCCTCCGAGTCAGCTCGCCTCCTCCTGCCCACCACCTCCGCAGTGTGCTTCATGACTTCCCCTGCTCACTGCCGCTGTGTGGGAGGCCCAGGGTCAGGGAGCAGCCAGCAAAACCCAGCCCAGCTCGTCAGGGAAACTCATCCGCCTGGTTCACCAGGGACTGTTAGGGACAGGCCGGAAGAAACCCTGGCTGGGACCTTTCCATGCTCGTCCCACTTGGGCAACCTCAGGCTGTTTTCCTTGTAATCCAGTGGATATTCTCTCTGTGTCTTGACAAACATCATGGGTATCCACTAGACCAGCTCTTGGCCTCATCAGAGATCTCGAAGCAAAGATGAAACCACACTTTCCTTAGCAGATGAGCAGAGGATTTCCTACCTGAGTAGTCAAGGCAAGGAGATCGTGGGGAGCCCACAACAACACTGGGGCCTCCCGCCAAGGCCCTGAGCACCAGGGCCTTGGCCTTGAAATGTAAGCAGGACTCCCCAGAAGCCTGGGAAAGCAGGAGGGGGCTCTCAGATGCTGTCTCTGCTGCTTCTCTGTGGAGCCCTGGGTCCAGCTCAGGTGAAGAGCAGAGCCTGCCTGCAGGTTTGAATTCCCTGGACAGAGGAGGGAATGGCCAGCGTTAACTTTAGCAGACTTGGTCGGCTGGGGTCTACTTCAGCAGTCCCAGGGAAAGGCAATGAACTGACAAGATGGTTCACAGAGGCAGCACGGTGGCATTTCCCGCCATGAGTGGGTCACCCCTCCTGAATTTCCAGACCTCATTGTAGTTTTTTTGTAATGTAACTTTCCGGCATCATAAGCATGGAGTCTGTAGAAAGATCTGCGTGTTAGTCACTATTCATTATATAACAAAATGCCCAGGGCAGGCTACCTTAAAAAGAAAAGAGGTTTACGTAGCTCACAGTCTGGGAGACTAAGCGCAGCACAGGCTTTACTGAGGGCCTCTGCTAATTTCATCATGGCAGAGGTTGCCTGCATTTTCCTCTGTGTCTGCTCTCTGTCCCTTGTCTTAGAAAACCACCAAAACTCAATCATGGGGGTCCGACCTGATGGCCTGATTAATGCCCTGCCCGCCCCAGTCCCTACCTCCTAAAGCCATTAACCCACGCCTTGCTGAAGTAAAGTCCTGCCTGAGGTTGAAAGGCAAACTCCAGAACTGAGTGATCTTGTGTGGCTGGGGATGTATCATAAGAAAGTACTTGTCCATTCTGACAGAATCATCCCAACTCTAAAATGACCCGAGCAGCATCCCTCCCCCCACACCTCCAGAAGCAGCAGCGTGTGGGCCACGAGGAGGAGCCTCTAACATGTCCAATTTTGCTCTTGGCGCACTGTTTGCATTCTCCCAGTGCAGTGTGGGAGAGTCTTCTGTGACCCCGCTGATCCGTTTCTCAGTCACAGTGGCTTCTTCCTCACCAGCCTGAAAATACATCCTGCCTTGAAACGTCCAGACAACTCAACCCATCATCTTTAAATTGAGCTTTGCTCAGGTTCTCAGGACAGGAGTAAAATGGAGCCATATTCTTGGCCAAAATTACACAAATGGTCCCTAGCCCAGTTCCCAGGAAGATCCCCGTCCTCTGCAAAAGGCCAGCAGCCAGGCCCCTGAGGCCTGCTGTTCTCCTAGCTCCCACCAGGATGGGCTGCTAAGCTCTGCTCCAGCTCACTGGGGGCCTTCAGACCCAGAGTGCCATGCTCTTCCACATTCCAGCCACAGACAGTTTGAAAGGCCAAACAATTGCCGCTCAGGCTCCTCAGGGCAGCAGCCCCACTTCTCAATATCAGCTTCCATCACAGTTTCCTTTCCTGTGATAAAATATTCTCACAAGAGCAACTTAAGGGAGAAAGGCTTTCTTTGGCTTGCGCTCCCCACCCCCCATCAATAGTCAGAAAGCAGAAGCCGACTGCTCAGTTCATTCTCTCCTTTTCATTCCATGCAGAGCCCGGCCCAGGAGCTGATACTATCCCTATTCAGAGTGAGTTTTCTTACCTCAGCTGACCCAGGTAAGACAATTCCTCACAGACCTGCCCACAGGCCAAGCTAATCTAGACAGTCCCTCATTGAGATTCCCTTACCAGGTGACTGCAGATTCTGCCAGGCTGACAACTGAAATCAACCATCGTTCAACATCTTTAGCCATCAGAGAAATGCAAATCAAAGCCACAATGAAATGCTACCGTATGCCCAATAGGAAAGTTGCAATTTATTTTTTTAAAGGAAAACAAGTGTTGGTGAGGATACAGGAAAATTCAGAAGTGTTGTGTCAGTAGATAAATGGATAAGCATGCCGTGGTATAGCTATATCATGGAATATTACTTGACCAGACAAAAAGAAACAAAGTAGTAATAAATGCTACAACATGGATGAACCTCAAAATATACTAAACAAGAGAAGTCCAACATAAAAGCTTGTATTGTGGGATCTGACTTCTATGAAATATCCAAAGCAGATTAATCCAGAGTGGCAGAAAGCAGGTGGGAAGTTGTGAGGAGCTGGGTGTGAGGACGTGAAAGGGTTTAACGGGGAATGCTTGCTCAGTGCGCGTGGGCCTTTGTTCTAGGGAACTACGAAGAAGGTGTGATTACAGTGCAGGGCGTGAGCTAAATGCTAACGAGTTTTCACTTTAGAATGGTTAATTTGAGCTGGGCATGTGGTTCATGCTGGGACACTTGCGTAACATGCATAGGCCCAGGGTTCAAGCCTCAGCACCAGAAATAAATCTCTTCTTTCCTGGTACACGTTTTGGCCCTGTTAAAACCAAGAGGCAAGGAAAGCTGAAGCCCTGAGTAGGTTCTCAGAATCTGTCGCCCCAATCTGACCCTGACAGACAAAAATGTGCCTTCTTGTTGAATGACAAATAAATAAGTAAATAAACAAATAAATAAATAAATAAAAAGGAAGGAAGGGTGTGACTGCTCCTTGGTATGGTGGAGGAGAAGGTTTATTGTGGTTAAAAGGGAGAGCATAGCCAGAAGCAGGGACATCTGGGGGAGTCCAGAGTGAACCTGACCGTGAGCCTGTCCATGTGAGGAGAGAGTGGGGGAGAGGAGTGGAAAGGGCCAGGAAAGTAAAGGGTAGACACTGCGGTAAATGAGGGTGACTCTTTGGCCAGAAGTTCTAATCTGTTCTTAAACTGGACATTTATTGGATTGAAGTGCTCTTAGAAGTCTGTGTTATTTTTCCTCCTGGAAAGTTAATTATTCACATTTTAAAATTAGGACAAAGGGTGCACTACGGTCACTTCCCTCTGTGGCTGTCTGTTTAAAATGGCTACGTGATTCTTCTAGGTAGGATTGCTTCAGTGACAAGCCTCCATTTATAACCCAGAGCCCATTCAGTGGCTCGAAGTTGGATTTGTGACAGAGGGTTTTGCTTTTATGTGGTTGTAAAGCTAAGTAAGTCTGACCTCGTGGTCACGGAGGTCTGTGCCACCCGGTCAGCCTGTGGCCTTCCGTAGTTTGGGGAATGAAGTCTCTGCCTTCAGCAGAGGCTATGGCCTCTCATCAGAGGTCTGGCCATGTGGAGGCCGGTTACTGCAGAACCTCCATGGCAGAAGGGAGACTTGGGCCAGAGCCTGTCACAGATGTTAGGTTTCAAAGTCGGGACAAACAGCCAAAGTGCCTATTTAACATAGCAAGTGGACCCGGCCTCCAGGTTCTCCCAGAATCCCTCAGTCCCTACCTGTTATAGGGCACGGCTGGCATCCCCAGCCCCTGGGCTGGGATGCCTTCTCCCAGACTCTCTTTTTTCTGTAATCCAGACATTTGGTTTCCCCCAGCATTGTAGGGCTCAGTAAGCAAATCCTGTTGGTACCTGGGAGGATCTGAAACACAGGCAACAGGGTCTAACCTGGAACACTGTTCACTTCGTTTTGATGCCATAGCAGAAAAATGAGAACACAGCCAATGTTACTGTATTTTTTATTAAAAAACAAAGTAAATAAAATAGTAATCTATGACATATATAAAACTGTGCTGGAGTCCATAGTTCATGGTCGGGATGGCTCAGAAGGCTCAGCCAAGGGCATGGCTGGGGCAGTTTCTTTCTCTTCATATCTAGGGGGCAAATCCAGTGGAAGATGTCCAGTGCGTGAGCTCTCAGGGGATGAACACGACCCAGAAATGGTGAATATGACTTCCTGTTCTCTCTCAGAGGCTGTGCCCTGGCTCTCAGGAGCCGGGATCCTGCTGGAAACAGAGAACAAGATCATGAAAACAGAGTCAGCCCTTAAGCACTGGGCTTTACCGAGGGCCGTGCTCCCAAGAGCCTCAGCCCAGGCTAGGAGCTGTTTCTCCTACCCTGTGGCTGCTGTTGTCGGTACAGTTTCTCTCTGTGTAGACCAGGCTGACCTCAAACTCACAGACATTTGCCTACCTCTCGGCCTCCCTAGTGCTGCTGGGATTGAGGGAGCGTACCACCGTGCTTGCTCATTCTGTTTTAAGATCTTCTTTCGTTCTTTCGTTCAGTCCTTACCCCATACTTGTTCTTTTTAAAAAGGTGTGTGTGTGTGTGTGTGTGTGTGTGTGTGTGTGTTCAGCACATGTGCCATGGTGCATGTGTGGAGGTCAGAGTTGGTTCTCCCCTTCCACCATACCGGTCTCCAGGACTGAACTCAGGTCTTTGGCTTGGCAGCAAAGGCTTTGACCCGGGGAGCCATCTTGCCAGCCCCTTATCCCTTATTTTTCTTAGAATTGGCTGTAATGTTAAGACAACCTGGCTCCTGCCATCATTGACTTTGTCAATAGAAAGGCTCTAAGCCTAAAGGTTCACTCGTCACCTAGAGATAGCTGGTGTGCCAGCACTGTCTCCTGCACAGCCACTGTCTTCTGAAGGGGACACGAGGTAGGTGAACACGTGCAAACAGAATAATTAAAACACTAAAGCTTGGTGGGAGGCAGGGAGCACCAGCAGTCACTGCGGGGCCTCTAACAGCAGGGGCCAAAGCCTCAGTTCTACTCTGCTGCTTCCCCTGAAGGCAGTCTTAGCTATTCCATTCACCTTCAGGAGCCTCCCCGACCTTAGTTATAACATCCTGATGGTAGTAGCAGCGCCTCCACCTAGGGTGGCCATGAAAATCAGGAAATAATGCAAGGAAAGCCAAACCGGGAGGTACCAAAATCACACAGCAGCCTCAACAAGGACTTAGCTAAAGCCCCTAGACCTTGGTTTTAGGTTTGGGGAAGCTTAATCATTGGAGGGAAAAAAAAATACAGCCTTCATTATTAGATGTCTGTCCCCAGTTGTCTGGTTCTTCTGCACAGAAACACCTGCGCTCACCTCCCCAGCTCTGTGCAACTCAGGCACCTGCTCTGTCCTCTGCTCACCTCCTTCCCCCTCTCTTAGAAAGCCTCTTCAGCTAGTTTTGTGGCAAACAGGCAACTTCATGCTCCTCCAGTGCCTTGATGATGGGCACGTGTCCCCTGGCCCCTTCACCGGACTGCCACCTACTCTATCTGAATGTTGAGGTTCTCCTAGCTCCCCAGGGAGACTCTTGAGTGATGGCAGCTATGGGCACCAGGTCCTTTGGGCCTAACTTCTCTGAAAAATGCCCACATTCCCCCATTGTCAAGATAGTCCAGGGATGTTTTTCAACAACCTTCCCTTCTCTCTCCGTGGGTCCCCTCACTCCCTCACTCCATTAGTATCTGGGGCTACACACACTGGCCGCTACGCAACACTGCCTGGAACATCTGCCTGGAAGCCTTCTGCCGTGCCGTAGCAGCGCCGTAGCAGCGCCGTAGCAGCACCACCTCTCTCCTGGGACCCAGCTCCAGAAGTCCACCGCAAAGGTCTTCTCTCGAGGCCCCTCCACCTGCAGCTATCCCAGATGCACCTTTAGCCTGTGTGACCTCCTTCACTGCCTTTCCTGTCACTCACTCTGGAAACCAGTGTCTCCCTGCTTCCTCAAAGTAAGCCTTCTTCTTACTCTCTCACACCGTCTTGGGTTCTTGCTGCCTCGGCCTACCCTTGCTGTTGCTGATGTGGTGCAAGGCATGGACCATCTACCTCTCTTCAGTGATTCTTCAAAGCTCTGTGGCCCAGAAACTTTGAAGGAAGGGGTCTAGCAGGGCCAGGCGCCCTGGGGCCTGGAACCTCTCTGCCATCTGAAACAGCGAAGTTACTAAAGCAGAGGTCCCTGGACCCCACTGCAACTCTCTGGGGCGGATGGGTAGTTACAGGAACAATTAAGATGCTTGGAGGTTTCCTAGCAACCCTTCATCACTCAGGGAAGCAGGAACTCTGACATGCCACCAGATACGGGGGCCCTCTAATGTCTGTCATTACATCCAAACCTTAAAGCTCACTGGCCTGGATTCAGGCCTCAGCCTAAAGTGACTACACATGCCTGCTGGTGATGTTCAAGAGGAAGTCTTACCTGTGGTTAAAAAGGCTGGAATACGAAGGTGGGTTTTCCACCTGGTGTGAGCCATGAGCCCCAGGAGATGGGGTCCCTGCTGAAGACCCAGGAAAGTAAGGTGGCGGAGGGGGCGGGAATATTATCACCGAGTCACCTGGGGAGACACAGAGCCATGCGTTAGGAAAAAAGCAAACAGCAAAATTAACGACGCCGCTCTTGTCCCCCGCCCCCTAAAGGGTCAGAACTCCCCTGAGCCCTCTGGAATGGAAAAGCAGGCCTGGGACATTTCCATGTCACAGGGAATAGGTTGACATTGGGAGGGGACTGCTATCTAACAGGTGTTTCTGTTTGGGATGATGGGAAAGTTCTGGAAGCTGATGGTGATGATTTTATTACAATACTTTGACCATATTTAATAATGTTACCCCTCCCCCCCCAGGCGGGGTTTCTCTGTGCAGCCCTGGCTGTCCTGGAACTCACTCTGCAGACCAGGCTGGCCTCAAACACAGAGATCCACCCGCCTCTGCCTCCTGCTTGCTGGGATTAAAGGCATGTGCCACTACCGCCTGGCAGATTATATATTTCTAAAACAGTTAAAATAGGGCTGGGCCGGGATGGGGAGGGGACAGCTCAGGCAGTAAAGTGGTATCTTCACAAGCAGGAGGACCTGAGTTCAAACCCATCCCTGCACCCATGGGTGACAGTGGTCAGAGCGGTGTGTGCCTGTCATTCCAGCTCCAGATGGTAGAAATGGGAGGACCCTTGTCAATCTTCAGTCAAAGCTGGAACCCCAGTCGCAAAACCTGAGGTGCTCAGTGACTGAGAAAGATGCCCAAGATTGCCTTCAAGCCCCCATCTGCATACACATGTGCACACATGCAGATACAGACACACTCACAGGACATAAAAGCAAATGAAAATTTAAAATGCTTAAACCAGTAAGTTTTTTGTTGTTTTGGTTTTCGTTGGTTTTCTCTCTTTGGGGGGTGGGGGGGCAGGTGTCATTTAGAGACAGGGTTTCTCTTAACTGTCCTGGAACTCACTCTGTAGACCAGGCTGTCCTCAAACTCACAAACATTCCCCTGCCTCTGCCTGGTTGGTTTTCTTTGTTTTGGTTTGTTTGAGACAAGGTCTCACTCTGTAGCCCTGGCTGGCCTAGAGCTTGCTCTGTAGACCAGGCTGGTCCCAGACTCACAGAGATCCACCTATTTTTGCCTCTTGAGTGCTGGGATTAAAATATGTGGTATTTAAAACATGGATTAAAGGCAGCACACACAGCCCTAAACTAGCAAGTTTTGTGGTACATATAGGCTACCACGTTGTGTTTTTTTTTTTTTTTAAAGTTGGCCTATTATTTAGAGCCATGAGCTCTCCTGCGGCAATATGGACTCAGTCTTTATCAAAGGTGTTTGAATTAAAGCATCTATGAGAGTCAGTAAAATGTCCCCTCAGTTTCCCAGGTATGTCTTCTGCTGGGAGACTTAGTTCACCATCCAGCTGCTGGATGAAGTGCAGAGTTGCTTGAGTACAGTACTCTCATGGCAACATGCCACACTGTGCCACACTGTGCCCCACCTTCGCCTCAGCTGCATAGGTGAAGCCCAGCTTAAAAAAAAAAATGTTGGTTCTGTGTCTGTTCACTCTGAACAGAGCCCCTGTGTTCTAGAGCCGTTTGTGTCCAGCCTTAACCACCACCTCACAGGGCGGACCCGTTAGCCTCCAACGCCTGGTGAAGGCACCTTCAGCCCTATCACCCACTAAGGCCATTTATTTGCCTGAGGAAGAAACACTTCCAGCTGCCTGTCTCTGTCCCCTGGACTCAGCCGTTCCCTGAGGTCACAGAGATGTGCAGAAAATGAATGAATTCATGAAGTCTTGCTGTCCTGTGAGCAGATGGCATGTGGTCCCTAAGCTGTTTGTGGAAAGGCGCTTTGGATACATCTGAGTTGTACTGGATGTTGGGGGTTGAGCTGTGGAGATGGTTTAGAGAGTTACGAGTACACTCTGCTCTTTCAGAGGCTCCAGGCCTGATTCTCAGAACCCGAGTCAGGCAGCTCACAACTGCTCGTAACTCCAGTTCTGGGAGATTCAACACCCTCTGCTGGCCTCCTCAGGCACCCTCACTCATGTGTATATCCCTAAACATGCACACAGATAAAAATAAAATAAATTATAGCCAGGAGTGTAGCACACGCCTTTAATCCCAGCACTCGGGAGGCAGAGGCAGGTGGGAGCTCTGTGAGTTTGAGGTTGGCCTAGTCTACAGAGTGAATTCCGGGATAGCCAGGGCTACACAGTGAGACCCTGTCTCAAATGCATGCCTGTAATCCCACCACTCAGAGAGGCAGAGACAGGTGGGAGCTCTGTGAGTTTGAGGTCGGCCTGGTCTACAGAGTGAATTCCAGGACAGCCAGGGCTACACAGAGAAACCCTGTCCCAAAATATGATAGATAGATAGATAGATAGATAGATAGATAGATAGATAGATAGATAGACAGATAGATTTTTTTAAAAAAAAAGATCTTAGTAGGTCTAGGAACTGAAATCAAATATTCACTTTAACTCCATACTGTGGCATCAAGGGCCTGTGAAGCAAGCCCACAGAGCAGGCCTGTTGTAGCCTGTTTTCACTATAAACAGTCCTCTTCATGCATGCTCACACGGCCAGGGCCTAGCACTGAACATATCCATAATGGAACAGTGTTGAGACCCATGGAGCCTCTTCCAAAACCTTATGGAGAAGAAAGTGCAAGAGGCCAGAGATTCAGGGGTGTGATGGGCACCAGAGGGGAGGTGGAAAGTGAGTTCTCACACCTGCAGCTTGAATGTCATGCTAAGACAAGTGTAGGGGTTCTGGAGTGGTACCCCGGTTCTGCTTCCAGCTCGCACCAGATGGCAGCCACCTGCTCATGAGAAGGCCCCTTCTGGTAAACCCCAAGGGCACCTCTCAAAATCCTACCACCCCAGGCCAGCGGAGGAGCGTTCTGAAGCACTCGTTTACCTCAGACGCAAACATACATGACAAACATACATGACACATCATGTCTCCTCAGATCTCCTGGACTGCCTTCTAAGAACACGTGTGACCCGTAAAACAGAATCACATCTGCGTGTGCTGCGGAAGACGCAGGCACAGGCTAGACTGTGTGTGTCTGTCCATCTAGCTAGCTGCTCCCTGCCACTTACTCACTTGTAACCTTGGGGCTCTGCCTCTACACGTCTCACATGGAGGTGCTAAGTGTGCCTTGATGGGTTGCTTTCAGCATGACTGAATCTCAAATAATAAGCTCTTTCATACAAGGCCACTGTTTGGCACAGGGTTAGACCCTCTGTGAGTGCTAGCTATTATGATCTTCATGTTGTCACTATAAACATTTATATACATGAAGAAATGAGCCAGAGCATTTACCCTAGTTTGGAACAGTACATTCTACGAATCCATCCTCTCTTCCCCTCTGAGCCTGCTACCTCAGGAGGCCCAGTGACTTCACTCCTCCATCCAGAGACCTTCACACATCCCAAACATGAGACATGGCCCTCACCTATTGTCCCCTCTCTTATTCAGCTCTGAGGCCTCAGTACCCAGCCCTTCCGTGAGGAGAGCCTGTGTCTGTAGGTGGTAGTCAGTGAGCGGAACCCCGAAACTGCCCCTAACTGAAAGGGTTCCATCCCAGCAGGAGAGGAAATGGGGAAATGGGGATCACTTGTTTGGTCCCTAAGGCAACAGAAGGCTTCAAGGCTATCTTCCTGGTTCTTCTCTCATTATCCTTTAAAGTTGCTCCATAGCCTCAGTCAAGGTCATTACTTATTGCCCCAATGCTTCTGCTAAATAATAGTGTGGCTGGGACTAGAAGAATTCCCACAAGGCATACCACAGGGGTGTGTGTGTGTGTGTGTGTGTGTGTGTGTGTGTGTGTATAGAGTATCTGTGTGCTCAAGTGTGTGTACATGTATGAGACAGGAGTTGAGGAGAGAAATCTATACCAGACCTAGGGAAGCCTGGTTAAGCCTTGAAGCAACATCCGCTACTGACTGGAGCAAGTGCGCATCTGAGGAGACTCTCACCTACAGTGATGTGGACAGGCTCCGTGCTGGGGGTGTGCCCGCCTTCCATTTCAGAGGTCTCTCGGCTCGAACTCAGGTTGTTTTTCTTCTTAACATGGGCCACCACGAAGAAACACAATCCCACAAGCACGATCAGGGGCCCCATGATCTGCAGCGAAAGGAAGCCACAGATCTGGGGCTCTGTCTCTCCGGTGTCCGTCTCATTCAGTGGCTCCGGTGCCCAGTCTGAGCCGCACCCAGGCACCCAGATGCCCAGGATGCTGATGAGCATGCCGCTGGTCAGGAACAGGAACCCGAAGATGAGGCACTGGGCAAACTGGCGGCTCTCTCCACAGAAGAAGGATTGGTCGGGGTCCTGCTGGCCTCGCCGCTGCCTCTCCCGCAGACGCAGGCGTGCCCGGGACCGAGCCAGAATCACAGCTCCCAGCCCCATCACCGCACACGAAGGCCCAGCAATCTTCAGCACCATGCTGCAGTGTGAGAGGGGCTTATGTTGGCATGCCTGGTACCCAAAGATGGAGAGTAGGACCCCCACACACAGCAGGACTGCACCCAAGACAAAGAGGAAGAAGATGAGCTTGCTGACATGTCTGTCCCTCTGGTCCCCGTCGGGCTCAGCAGTTCCCACGGAAGACATGACCAGCAAAGAAAAGGCCTGCTGGTTGTTCCCCGGCCTGGAGGGGAAATGCGTCTCCTTCCCTCCGGCAGTTTCAGGTTCTGCAAGCAGAAAATAAATGCAGAATTACAGTGGGTGCAGGTATCTCTGACCAGCTGTGATCTCTTGCTGGCCGTAGCAGAAATCACAGAAGGGTGACCTGTCAGGAGGCGGAACTCAGGCAACAGGTCTACTGTGGAACAGTGACTCGGCCTTTGAGTCAGGAGAAGTGGCATCCAAAGACTCCCAAATGTGTAATTTCATGAATATATCAAAAAAGAGGAAATTCAATTACCATGCTTCTGAGATAAGAAAATCTTTTTAAAAATAAATAAAATGACTGGGTTTATCATTTCCTGTTCTGAGTCTTACTCATTTCTCCAGGCCAAGAAAAAAAAAAAAAAAGGCAGATAAGGGAAGAGCAACGGGGATAATTTTCTGATATATAGCTCCCTTGTATCAAGTCAGAGCTGCTCTGACCATTTTGATAAATGTTTGTCCAGTAGCTAACTTTCCACTTCCTGTTTAAGACCCCGGCACTTTTCATCTCTCACCTTCCTCCCAGGCTACACCACCCACGGTCAGCAATTTCAGCAGAACCAAAAGGTGGTTCAGAAAGACAGTTGGTCTGTAGACTTTAAAGTTAATTCCATCAAAATGTGATTCTCAAGTTCCTGAGAAGCAAAGTCTGGGGCTGCCCTGACACCCCACCCCACTGGCAGCTCAGTTTCAGGACCTTGGCGTGACCTGGGAGAATCTGGCACAACAGGTGAAGGCCAGCCCCAAAGCAGACAGGGCCCTCGGGTCAGCAGACGGGCAAGGCTGTCACTCTGCTTTAAGGGGACTCCCGCTCCCACAGAGGCTGAGACACAGAGGAAAGCACGGAAGGCTGACAAAACTTGCTGCGAAAACAGAAGTGGGGCCTACCTAGTGGAAAAGCACCTTTCACAGAAACCACACAGGAGTGTTTTATACTTCAAGGGTATTTTATACTGCCTAGACATGGTGGCAAATACCTTTAAGGGGAGGCAGAGCCAGAAGGGTCTCTGAGTTCGAGGACAGCCTGGTCTACAGAGTGAGTTCCAGGACAGCCGGGGCTACCTAACAGGGAGACCCTGCCTCAAAATAAAACAAAAACAAGACAAAAGAGTATAATATACGAACTTCACGAAGCCGCGGTGAATGCTGGCGCACACGCACACAGCATTGATCTTTAAACCAGTCTCGCTCCAGGGACTGAGGGTAGGGGTCCACCAAGTCAGGAAGGATATATTCAGACAGAAAACTTTAAAACATACGTTGTCGTTCACATTCTTGACCGACATGAAGGAGCTCACGGCTCCAAGGCCGAGACCATTGAGAAACTAGAATCGTGTGTAAGGAAGCCGAGATTGAGTGAAGAAGGTAGACATGTGATGCTGCCGCCCTAGAAAAGTACTTTCTCCTCCCCCGCCACCCCCAAAGTGCGACAGAATCAGAAAGAAGTGGAGGGAAAAAAAAAAAAACCGGCAACAAGAGGTGAAGTGAGCTTGTCTCGCCCTCTTAGAAAAGCTACACTCCGTGAAGATGCGAAGCTGGAAAACTTCAGGCAGAACTTCAGGCATCCTTCTAACTTAAAGCACATCTTTCCCTGAGTCACACAGTCTCACTGCTGCGTTCCCAGGCGAGCACCGGCCTGATTCTGTTAGGAAAGACTCACTTTGTTCCTGGTACCTTCAGCTTTGCGGCTGTTCGTGGGCTTCAGTTCTCTTGAGGCAAATACCCAAACACCAACAGTAGAAGAAGCGGCAACATAGAAGTGCCAAACTAGATTTGTAACCCCCCACCCCACTCCCCAGGACACCAAGTACGTGTGCCTGATCCAAACTGAGGTGGAGATCGCCTCCGTGCCCAAAACGCCAACACCCAGGGGCGCCCAAATAGAGCGCAAAATACGTAAGAGACGGAACCTTTTCTACCTTCAACTCGGTTTCCTGGCAAAGCCAAACCCGCCCCCTAAACACCCTCTGTTTTTTCCAAAAGCGAGACCCAGATCAACAGCGTCTCCCTGCTTCCCGCGCTCGGAGGAGCTGGCAAAGTCAGACCAGGAGAGGCGAGCGTCGCTGCGGCCCCAGGGGCGCCGCTTACCTGGGCTGGTCCAGGGCTCCGCGCCGCGCGCCTGGCTCCACGCTCGCCCTCTGCGCGCCCGGGCCGCCTCCGCGCGCACGGGCCCAGGCGCTGCCCGACTGGCGGGCGCGGCGGGCGGGCGGGGCAGGGCAGGGCTGGCCGGTGGGAGCTGGCCACCGCCGGGTGCTGCCCTCCCGGGGCACGGGCGCGCCGCTCCGGAGCGCCGAGCTAGGGGCGGTATCGCCGGCCCCGGGACGGTAGGAGTTGGCCGTGCAAGCTTTGGGAACTGGCTGGCAGATGGGCACCTTCCACCAAGCTGGGGTTGGGGGGGGACACCAGCGAGTTGAGACTGGCAGCCCGGGGCTGTGTGGGGCTGTGACGAGGAGGAGGAGTTGGTCTCTTTGCAGCCTAGGTGCCGAGGGGGAGGGGACAGGCTGCGGGATGTCTGAGCCCCGGGCACACCAACAAAGAAAGAAAGCCAAGGGCCCTGGTCCTCTGCTGAGGGGGTTCACCTAACTGCTCTGAGACCTCGACGGGGGTTCTACAAGCATTCTACAAGCGAACATGGGGACAGCTGAGACCGGGAGGGACCTTCTATTCTATCGTTTAACCTGAGGGCCTAGCTCCTAGACTGAAGCGGATCCCCCAGAACCCTCTGTCCCTTCCTGGTCATATATGTGCACGTAGCCCTCCCTTGCCATAAAACACCCGTCCACGGGGATTAAACTGTTAACTCTCCTGCCCTTGCCCTTGGAGTTTCTGATGGGCTTGCTAATCCCCGTGCTATTTGTAACCTGCCCCGTGACACTTGACAAGCATCCAACTGTGCTAGTTTCCACTCCAGAGGTCAGGCCGCTGTGAGGGGTGAGTCAAGTGTGCTCTGGGCCCAGACACGGAGACACCCAGAGCTGTGGGGACTTTCCCACCTTGCCTTTCCTTCCTAGCTTCTTGTCTCCTTGAAAGCCCGTCCATTCTTGTTAGTTTCCTTATGGATGAATTAGGCTTGGTAAGAAGAGGTGGAGAAGAGTCACGAGGCCGAGGCTGAGCAAAGAGGGCTAAAGAGTTACCTTGAGCTCTGGGGCTGGTGGAGTGGGAAGGGTGAGAAGGGGGTTCCCGCCTATAGCCACGGAAATGGGGGTGCCGAGTAGAGGGGACAAACTTGTCTCTTGGGCCAGACGTGGGCTTTCTCGAATCTGGGGCTCTGAGCACTGAGTCTCCAACAAGGTAGGCTTACACAATGGCTAACACCAGCACTCAGCTCCCAGCTGGCTCTGTGGTCGTCCTGCCTTCACCAGCAGCCTGCGGTTGCCATAGGTGAGGGTCATCAGTAGATGGGGACCTAGCAAGCCAGTTGACCCATAAGGAGCTGCATCAGCCAGAGCTGGAGTGACCGCTGTACCTGCTCGGATGCGGCCAACAGTGCGATGTGCTGGAAGCAGTGTTCTTCCCCATCACCCAGAAAATGCACGTGCTGTGGACTTGGAAAACACTTTTATGACTCGGTCTTGTGGTGCCAGGGAGGGACTTGTACAGATCAATAAAGAAACTATCCCAAGGATATTGCAGTCATCTGGGCCTTGGGTGGAGAAATCCTGGTCAAAGTGTCAAGGTATGCCAGTCACCTTCTGGAAAGGCACCAAGGTATACCCAGTTAATGGGCAGCAAACCAGCAACGGCTATGGCACAACAGTGGAGAGCCATGGGCTTTCTAAGGGCTCAGGCTCTCACACAGGACTAGCCCCCTCCGGCCACGGCCTGCTAACAGCTCTTCACCTCAGACGGTTCCACGTCCGTTGCCCACTGGCTCGTCCCCCCTCGTTTATTTGGAAGCCAGTCTCTGGCAGAGTCCTGCATGAGCCTTGGAAGGGGCCTGTTGATACAGCTGCCCCGCTGGTACCACATGACTGCGGGCTTGCCACCCATGACAGACTCGAATGTCTTGGCACCAAGGGCAATCCGATTAGTCTCCCCTTGGGATAGCCACTGTTTGTGTCTTTTGGAGCCCGCTGGACTAAATCAAAGCCCTGGAAACTCATCATCTGTCAAGTATGACACGTCCTTAGACCAGGCCTGGTCCTGGGGGAGAGCTGCAAGATCCAAGGCTGGTCCCCTCTCCAGCCGTTAGGTGGTGAGAAAAGATACATCCAGACAGAACCTTTAGAAAAACAGCAACAAAAACAAGATTTTAAAATTGGGTGAAGCCAGGCACGGTAGTGAAGGCCTATGATCATAGCCTTGGGAAGCTGAGGATCATGAGTTTAAGGATAGCCGGAGCTATAGTACAAGTTAACCTGGTCTACACAGTGAGACGCCATCTTGGAAACAAAGCAATACAAAACAAAAATTGGATACGCCCCAGATCCATCCAGCCCCTGAATATGGGAGAATGAAGCAGAGGTGAGTATTCATTTATTCAGTCAGGAAATATTTACTGAACGCTTAGAGAATTCAGTGGAGAGACAGAGATTTAGAAAGCTCAGGAGAGCAACGCGTGGAGGAGGGGGATGGAGGGTACTGCTCTCAACGGACTGAGTACTGGAGGCGTCTACACGGCGGCATAGCACAAACCTGATGGGAATGAGGAAGCTACGCACTGTCTATTGTTACATAACAAACAGCCCCCAAACACAGAGGCTGACAATAGATTTACTGTCTCTCCCAGTTGCTGAGGGTCATGAAAGAGGTCGGTTTCTGGGAGTGGCTTAGCTGGGTCTGGTTTGGGGTCTCTCCCAAGGCTGCTGTCACACTGCAGGGCAGAGTGGTAGGTGTGTATGGCTGGGGCTGGGGCTGGGGCTGGGGCAACACACATGCGCGCGCGCACACACACACACACACATACACACACACGCTTTCCTCGTGGGAGCCGTCTCAGAGCAAGCTAAAGGCAGGACAACGCAGGGCCTCTCGTAAAGTGGCCCCTGAGCTTCTACCTCACTCCTTCCACTTCATTCCAGTCCGCAGGACCGAGGCACCAGATCAAGCACCAGCTTGCACGTCAAAGCATCTGTGGACACATTTTATAATGCCTGGAAGGAGGAGGAAGAATACTTCAGGTGAGCTAACAGCAGCATGGGGGCTGGAGAAATGCTCTTCCTAAGCACCCAAAGGGGAGCTCAGTTCCCAGCACTCACACTTGTGGCTACTTGTAACTCCAGTTCCAGAGGATCTGACACTCTCTTCTGGCCTCTGTGTGCACCAGACACAGGTGGTTGATACCCACAAGGACACATACACATAAATAAAGTAAAAATACTCCCTAAAAACAGCAGGGGGTGCCGGGAAGTGGTGGCACTCTGCGAGTTCGAGGCCAGCCTGGTCTCAGAGTGAGCACAAGACAGCCAGGACTATTACACAGAAAAACCCCTTCTCAAAAAGCCAAAACAAACAGACAAACAGCAAGGGGACAGAGAGATGGTTCCATTATTAAGAGCAGAAGGTTCAGTTCCTAGGGCCTATATGGCAGCTCACGACTGTCTGTAACCCGTTTCACAGCCTTCTTCTGACCTCTGCCAGCACCAGACATGCAGTTGGTACACAGACGTGCATTCAAACAAAATACCCATACACATAAATGTTTTTTTAACTTAATTAAAAATACAAAAAAAAAAAAAAAAAGGCTGTGTGGTGGTGCACACCTTTAATCCCAGCACTTAGGAGGCAGAGGCAGATGGATCTCTGTGAGTTCAAGGACAGCCTGGTCTATACACAGTGAAACCCTATCTCAAAAACAAAACAAAACATAAAACAAGCACAAAAGCTCTGAGCTGGGCGTTTGCGTGGAGAAGAGCGGGAGGCCAGGGTTGCTGAAGTAGGTGAGTGAAAGGATGAGGACACATGGGATGCTAACTGAGCACTGGAGAGCAAACACCCACAAAGCAGGCCCAGCAGGGTCTCCGGAACACCAGGAGCTGAGAGGAGGGAAGGCCTGCCATTCAACAGGGCATTGAAGATACCCGATACCGTGGGCAGTCCTAGGGAGGGCTTCGAGTTTAACTGCTTAAGTACGATCTGATTTTTCTTTTCTAGTTGGACTCTCTCGGACAGGCCTGGAGCATATAGTTTATTGGTTTAAGCAATCACCTGCCTTAGCCTTCTAAGAAGCAAGGGTTGGTGATTCATTAATTCATTTACTTAATATTTTATTTAACTTATTTTGTAATGCTAGATAACGGTTTCAAGGCCTGGCTTGTACTAGGCACTGGCTTGTACTGAGCCACATTCTCAACACTACTGGTTTATTTGTTTCTTTAACTTTTTAGAGGTTTTTTTTTTTTAAGATTTATTTTTATACATGTGTGTGTGTGTGTGTGTGTTTGTGTGTGTGTAAGACTATGTGCACATGTGAGTGCAGTGCCCACAGTGGCCTGAGTATTAGAAGCACCGGAGTTTCAGGCGGCTGTGAGCCAGCCAACATGGATCCTGGGAACCATGTTTCAAGACTCTCGCCAGGCCTCCGAGACACCCTTCCAAAGCTGCCTTGCCCAGTCCGACCACCCAGCTTCGCAGCAGCTGCTGCCAGTATTCCTGGGACTTTCTTTTTTTCCTCCACAACCCAGGGGCCGGCGACATGGGCTGGCTGACCGTCTAGTCAGAATTCAAGGTTCAGGCTGAGTACCTCAACTGATTCTACCACAAAGACGACCCTTTGCAGTCATTTTACAGCCTGGATGCTGCTGCTGCTCTCCCGTGGCTGATAACAGCGCTGCCCGAGGGCCTGGGAGCCATACCAGGAGGGTGGAATGCATGCGTTTGCTCCAGGGAGACAGAACTCACCTGGAGTAAAACCTTTATGAGCTTCCTCGGGGAGAGCCCTCATCACTCACTCGGTGGCCTCAGCTTCTACTCTGAGGGGTGGAAGAAAGCAGCTTATTGAAAAGTCGGAAGGAAAAATGGTGGTTTCCTGGCATCTTTTGTTATTCGTTCAGTTCTCCGCTGTCTACTGGACCCCTGAGAATGAGTGATTTCCTCCCAGCATATAAGAAGCCTATAAAAATGCAATAGGCTGAATTCTGATTTTTCTTTGCTACTTTACTAATTGCTCGGCCTTGGGGCAAGTAACATGTTCTCCATGCCTCTCTGTTCTCTGCCATCTTATGGGGATAACAAGACCTACCAGGAAGGCTAACAGTATGACAGATGGAGGGCATCAATAAATATATTTCTTTTTAACCTCTGTGGTTACTCAGGAGAGAAGAGAACGCTCCCTGAATTCAAAGGAGAACGTGTCGATTTTAACACAGTGCTTTGAGCTCATTCCTACAGCAGCCCTCCCTGTGCCTTCTGGGGTAGAAAGGTGAGTCTCAGATGGTTGCAGAGACCAGCATGTCTGCACAGCTCCCTGTGCTGTCTGCCCTGTGTTTCCGCCTTTGTGGTAAATACATTTATAGCACTTGTGAAAGGTGCCCGGCTGTTGGTGGTTTGTCCAGAGGGACACGTGACCTTCCAAAGGTGATCTTACAGCCAGTCCATGGCCAAGGCTCAGGTTCTGCCCTGTTGGTTGCAACCCCATCTCCAAATTCTCTGTCTAGCCCTTCCACCTCCTGGTGGCCACTGTTGACTCCAAGATGGAGTCAAATCAGTTTGTCCTGCTCTGAAATTACAGCACAGTGAAGTAAAACAAGAAAATGGATGGTGGAGGGAAGGAAGGAAGGAAAGAGGGGAAGAAGGAAAGAAAAGTCTTACCCTGGTTCCCGCCTCCTTTAGAGAGACTGTGGCCCGTGTTCTGGGCAGATAGAACCCTTCCGATGCTACCCATAGCTCACTTGCCTATCCTGGACAGTTGAGGCACTTAGGGATAGCTTTCGGCACGACCCCACGCAGCGACCAAGGCGGGGCCCCTGACTGTCCCAAGGTGCCACACAACACAGGCCAGGGGTCTGGTGGGTTAGGGCTCTTCCCAGGTGTGGCTGGTCATCTCGGTGACACACTGGAAACCTTCAGCTTCTCCCACAGTAACTTTTGGCTTTAAAAAGAAAAAAAATTTTTTAAGTAATAAGAGTATAACACTTGAGAGCTGGGAGGTTGATAAATAAAAAGGCAGCTTGGCAGGCAGCCAGCCCCCCTCCCCCTGAGTGCCCCACATTTTAACAAAAGGCTTTTTGTGGAAGCCGCAGACTGCAGGTAGAGCTAGGGCCTGAGGCTGCATAGGTCCAGAAAGAAGGCAAAGAGAACCACTGGCTCGAGCTGTTTTTTAACCTCGCTCAAAAGTTTGCTGGGGGAAGGAAGAGACAGACCAGCCTGCGTGCTGGGTGTGACCCAGGTGAAATAGCTACCTGAACTGTCCCCGTGTCCAGCAGAGGCTGAGACCCTGGAGAGGTGTGAATGCTTAGTACCCTGGAAGGTGGGGGCAGCTGTAGACTGTCCTGTCCCAGAAGGGCAGAGAGGTGACCATCTGGGATGCATCTCACAGATTCACTGCTCTGCCCGGGACCCTCCACCTCCATCTGCAGGCAGCCATGACTACCAGTCAGTTTCAAGCCAAGGACAACCGCCCCCCATTCATTCTTTACAATTCCAGCTGGGTGTGCTTTCCCGGCGAGGCCTCCCTTGACCTGCTAATCTAAATGAGCCCAGCATGCATGGCACCTGTGAGTGTGTGTGTTTACAGAACATGTTTTACACTCAATGCCCTTCTTAAAACTGTGGTTATTTATTATCCCATCCACAGCTGCCCCACGCACCCATGGAGGCACCTTCTGCTCTTCCTGTCACCATCACCATTGGTGTTCTGGAGATGCTGTCCTTCTCGGTGTTCAGCATCCGGCTGGTCTCTGTCATTCCAGATCCCACATTCCTCCTGCTCCTCTTTATCCTCTATCCGGTGGCCCACCAGCAACCCAAGCCTCCTTCCTCCTCTGTGTGCCTCGGCTGCTACCCGCTCAGCCAGGCCCAGTGGTGCTGACACAGCGTCTCCTGCTACAGAGGCTGTGGCATCAGCCTCGCCGTCCACAGAGCCCGCCCTTCCTGCCGCCTCTGCTGCGCGCCTCACTCATTGTGTGCCCCAGCCTCTCCTTTCCTCCCCCTGACTAGCTCCTAACCTGTTTGGCAACCCATCAATTCAAGCTCTTCCCTCGTGGGTAGTGTCGGTTCTGGGGCTACCAGTTCAGGACAGCCCAATATGCTCATCTTTAGGCTATGCCTTCTGGCTCCCATCTGTCAGGTAGTCGTTGACTGCTGTGTTGATTAGCTTCCTGATGCTTTGACAACATACCTGAAATGCTCAACCATTCGCCCCTGATCACTTGGCCCTATCTCTTTGGCCTGGTACTTCTCTTTGGGAAGCGCAGGATGGACCAAAGTTGCTCACCTCATAGCAGCCAGGAAGTAAGGCACAGACAGAAAGGAGGGGTGGCTGCGGCTTCACTATTGCCTTGAAGGGCACATCTCCAGGAACTCACTTCTTTCTTCTAGGCCCAGACTCCTAAGAGTTTTACCTCTTCCTAATAATACCATAGGCTGGCCACCAAGCTTTAGTGCCTGGTGTTTGCAGGGCATTTAAGATCCAAACCCTGATACCCAGGCCTCTGCCTCAGTAGCTGGGTTCTGCTGCCTTCTCCCACCCACCCCCCCAAAATACAACTCAGAAGTCAATTGTTATCTGTGTGAATCAGCATCTTCTCTGCTGATGTTGGACCCCACAGTGCCTGGCCATGCAACCCCAGGTTGCTTCTGGATTCACAGAAAGCTGTAAACCCCACCAAGCCTTTTCCTGTGAGCACAGGACCCCTTCCGCTCAGGCAGCAAGGCCCTTCTGGCCAGACAACAAGCAGGCAAACCTCAGCCAAGCACACCTGCCATGCCTGGGCCCGGGTCCCAGGTTGCTCCTCAGTTTGCTATCACCTGCTTACTTGAGGCATAATGGCTGCCAGGCCCAGTCGATGACTCCAGGCTTTAATCTCCTGTTGTGGAAGTGCCGGTCTTCCCAGCATGGTGGCTGGACCGATGAGGGCATGTCCACAGTCTTGCCTTTCATCTCCTGTCACAAGTGCTTCCTCGAGAGCTTTCAGTGTTCCTCGAGAGTGGCCTAAAACGTGGGAACTGCCTCTCTCTGCCCACAAACTTGGAACAGGTTAGCAGTCTTTTTGTGTAAGGGGCTGACAGTAAACATCCCAGGCTCTGTAGGCACCTGACCGTTTGGCTTCCACCACAGCTCTTCTACTCTGCTGCCACAGCTGGAAAGCAGCCCTAGACACAGCCAACATGTGGACATGCAAGCAAGGCTGCAGGCCCACACGGCTGTGGTCATGCACACATGCTGGAATCCCACGCAGTCTTCACACCACAGAAAATTCTTTTCCTTAAGTGCTCAGTTGTCCTTGGCTCCGTGGCCATACAAAAACCTATGCCACCCAGGTTTGACCCTTGGGCTGCGGTTGGCTCACTCCTGCATAATCTGCTAGACTTTACAAGAGACGATGGCAGCCCTGGAGAGACGTGACAGTAGTTAAGAACACTTGCTGTTCTTCCCGAGGAGAACCCAGATCTGGGGGTTCACAATCATCTCCAAGGGACCCAATGCCCTTTTCTGCTCTCCTGAGGACAACTGCGCACCCCACACACACACACAACACACACACTCAAAAGGGAAAAGGGTGGGTCCAGGAAGACAGCAGTATAAAAAAAACCTCCAAAACCTACCCTCTACTTAAGACAGCAACTGCACCAGTGAAAGCTGTCTGAATCGACAGCTCAGAACTGTGGAAGGCTCATAACTTCCCGAAAAAGAAGGCCTAGACAGTCCACTACAGTTACCCTGTGTCCGTTTCAGGCCTTAGCAGCCACCTGCTTCTCCGCCACATGCCAGGCATCTAGGCTATCCCGCCAAGGCAGCAAGTATTCACACACAGGTATGTATGCAAACAAGGTGAGCAAAAGGCCACTGGACCCCAGAAAGCGAGCATCTCATCAAGGTGGCTTGTCATGTGACCTTTGGTGATTCCTCACCACCACCCCCCCCGATTTAAAGAGACACTGTTCTTTCTCCCTTCTTCCATTCATTCTCCTTCCCTTTAGAGAGCTAGACATTAAAAACCAAGACTCAAAAAAGGAATGCCTGAATGCCTGTGCAGGGAAAGTCAGAAAGTGACCATACATGTCCAATAAAAGACCCAAGATGTCCTTAAGTCTCCATCTCCTTCAGTGTCACAGCACAGAGGCAGCCAGAACAATCAAAACAGCCACAGTGAAGAAACAGCCTCACAGGCCTGGGGTGCAGCTTAGTGGAAGAGTGCCAGCCATGCATGAGACCGTGGGCTTGCTCCTTACTAGAGAAAAAGGAAAAGAAAAAGGGAAGAACAAAATACAAACAAACAAACAAAAACATGGTAAAGAAAACACAACAAATCCCAGGAAGAGGGGAAGCTGCTTCCGTCTTCCATGTTATTAGGTTCAATGTCCGATTACCAAGAACAAAAGTCACAGGGCGTACAAAGAGCAGAGTACGGGCAATTCAAAGGGAAACTATACAAGTCAACAGAAACTGCCTCTGAAGAAAGCCTAAAGCCTAAGAGCCTAGATACATGGTTCTCAAAATGTGGGTCTCGACCCCATTGGGGAGTTGACTGACCCTTTCACAGGGGCCACCTAAGACCATCAGAAAACACTTGTATTTATATTACGATTTGTAACAGTAGCAAAGTTACAGTAACGAAGTAGCAATGAGATAATTTCATGGTTGGGGGGTCACCCCACTATGAAGAATTGTATTCAAGGGTCGAAGGTTAGGAAAGTTGAGGACCACTCAACCCCACAGGTCTTCATCTTCAAGAAAGATGTAGAGAAAGTCAAGACAACAACGTAAGAACAAAACAAGAAGCCAGAAAAGAAATGTGGGAACTGAAAACTGCAGTAAGCAGCCAGGCACAGTGGCACACGCCTGTAAACCCAGCAGTCGGGGAGGCAGAGGCAGGCAGGTGGATGGCTGTGAGTTCAAGGCCAGTCTGGTCTTCAGAGGGAGTCCAGGACAGCCAAGGCTACACAGAGAAACCCTATCTCCAAAAATAAGATAA